CCGCCTCTGGTCCTTAGTACCAGTCCCTAGTACCAATACTACTTTTTACTCCATATGACTCCGCCTCTGGTCCTTAGTACCAGTCCCTAGTACCATCCGATCGTTTCTCGCACCTGCAGGAACCGAAAAACATTTTTAACATGCTGAAAAAAACTAGGTCGACTCCTGACCTAGAGTCATCTGCGTGGTGCAATCCATTCAATAATGCAAGGAAGATGAGCAATAGCGAACTTCAGCAATCAAACAGCATCATACATATGAGTCCAGATAGTCGTGACCTCGAACCGACAGCAGAAGTGCATCACGAGATTCACCAAATAAGAACATACCAAGAGTTCACAATTGACAATGCTGAAAAAGTCCCATCATCATCATCAACGAAGAACCAGAGTTGGTATCCTATCTGGCGCTCGGCGCCCAGACTACTTGTGGCACATCCTATCTAGCCTATACTACAATGACGAAGTTGACGACAACAGCTCTCCCGAAGTATGAGCATACAGCGACCAATGCACGCGTCCAGCACCAGGTATGTCTCTCGCCTTACTCACAACCTCGTTCCCCAACACACAGATGCCACTTGCACCCAAGGACCACCCTGCGCCACACCCAGCTTACAGCAGCGCAGCTCGGCTATGGCTGCCTGCTCCTTCCCTGCTCGCCCGTGAGCGCGTAGGCGCCAACCAACAAATAGCGCAGCAGCGCTTGCGGAGCATGCAGCCAGCACCCGAATGAGGAATGCGGAGGCAGGCCCTTTGCTCTATCGAAGTGGCTTGCCTGCGTCCAGTCCCAGCTTCCAGTAGGCCCCGGTAGCCTGAGGCCCAGCACGATCGAGAACAGGTCTGGGGCCTGAGGTGGTTGCACGCACCCAACTGCCTTTGCATGTGTTTGGCCCAGTACCCGTATCCAGCCTAGGGCCTGCTTTCCATACATTCACACAGGCGGCCCAGGGCCTGGATTCTCTCAACCAACTGGCGTTGCGCAACTGCCTGAGTTTCCAAAGTTGCGCAGAGGCCGAAATAAGGCCCTGAGGGGCCTCGTCGAGCCAGCCTTCACTTAGGGCGGCCGACAGGCTATCAAAAAGGGGCCGAATGGGCTCATAGAGGCAGTGGCCTCGCATTCCCTCCTCCTTAGCTTCAACAGTCCTCTGAGAAGCTCAGTCTTCGACCATCGGGCGCTTTCCTTTCTGCATAGTTTTCTCATAGTGGGCTACAACTTGCGGCGCGGTCTACATGAGTTCTTCTCTGGTAAACCAACGGTCCTCCTTCGGATCAGTATGATGTCGGAACCGAACGTGATACTGCAGCTTCGGTTTCGGAGGACGTCCCCTGGCTGTAGTCTGTGGAACTGGCAGCTCACGGTGATCAACAATATCGTCGATGTCGACCTCTCCATCCATGGTTGGGGGCAGCATTGAACGACGAGATGGAAACTGATCTGTTTCCCTGAAAGGTGCAAGCTTGGAGGCGTGGAAGACAGGGTAAGTGCGTAAGTGACCGGGGATGTGTATAACATAAGATGGGCCATCCGGTTCATTTCCCACAACATCCAATACTTCCCACGGTCCAAAGTACTGTGGCATAAGCTTGCGGGAGATCCCGTGCTCCTGTCCCAGTTCTGAGGACTTAACCCAGACTCTCTCTCCCACCTGAAACGTAGAGGGGCGGCGGTGTTTGTTTTCAGACTCTATCATCGCCGCCTGTGCCTTGTGCATCTGTTCAACAGCCTGCTGCATCAACTGCTCATATCGGTAAGCAAATTCTAAAGTCCCAGGTGCAGCAGTTGGCTGATTGTCAGGTAGTAGAAAGTCTAAAGGCAGTCGGGGTCTGAAGGTCAGTAGCAGGCTGTTAGGACCGACTCCGGTTGCGCTGTGCACAACATTATTGTACAAACTTGCAATGAGAGCAAGTTTATCATCCCAATCTACCTGATTTGGCTTGATGTAGTGCCTTCGCAGGTGTGGTACAGCGCGGTTCATTTGTTCAGCCTGCCCGTTTGCCTCAGGATGATTGCCCGATGTCATCTGCAGCTGTGTACCTTGCTCTGCAGCTGCTCCTTTCCACAACTCACTTGTGAATCTGACATCCCTGTCACTAACTATGGACTTAGGTAATCCAAAGTCTCTAACCCAATTCTCTTTGAATATCTTAATGACATACTCCGTTTTAGCTGTTGCCGACATCGCTACTAATCTAGCAAACTTACTAAACCTATCCACAATGACGTAGATGTAGCGCATTCCACTCTTGCCTGTGATCAGAGTATCCATGAAATCTACGGGCAGGCTCTCACCAGGCCTTTCCGGAATCGAAAGCGGCTTCAAGAGCCCAAGAGGAGCCTGTGTACGTGGCTTGTCTCTCTGACAGACTTGACAAGTCTCCACGTACAACTGAGCATCTCGCATCATCGTGGGCCACCAAAACTGCTGCAGCAGATTAGCTGCGATCTTTTTGTACCCAAAATGGTCGGTGGCATCATGACACTCACCTAAAAATAAACTACGCAAAGACTCGCTATTAGGAACACACAATCATTTATTCCCTGCCTTCTCAAGGAACAGCAAGCCATTGAACTGGTCCCAGACATAAACTGGTCCTCGCGTATGATCTCAGACATGAACTGGTCCTCGCGATAAGCTTCCACCAAGGACTGAGTAACATTGTCCGTCAGATCGAACTCAGTAATTAGCGCACCTGAGAAATCAGGCCTACGCGACAAGGCATCAACAAGCTTGTTGTACTCCCCTTTCAGATACTGAGGGTCAATGTCATACTGCTCAATGACTTCGATCCAACGCTTGAGAGCATCAGAGAGTACCGGCTGAGTTCTCATC